AGGCTCATGTATAAAACGTAAGACTAAACCCACCCATCCCACCCCAGGGGAGGACATCCACCACACAGTAATCTCGTGCGTGGGAAATTAACGTCTCCTACCCCTAACCCTGCAGGAGACGGGGCCTACGGTTTATTCGTCCTTAGCGATCCGAGAAGACTAGAACATCTATCTATTTCTTGATATTAAAGAAAGGTAGCAAATTTTCCTCAGTTATTTTAAGACCATGAGTATTGGTCCGGCCGGGGCACTAACCCTCGACCTGCAGCACAACTTTTGATCATTACATGTTAAAAAGCGCACTATAAATTGATAAATTATTATAATTAATAAATTACAACACAATCCGGCGTTCTAACCAAATGAGCTAACCGGGAAGCGGTCAAACCACGTATAAAAAGTACCAACCGATCCGTTACCGTTGTTAAAATCAATTTGTCCCAAAACCACTTTTGATAAGAGTTCCGCCGGGACGTTTTCAAAACGTCTGCGTAAGCAGGGTGATTTAAAATTGTTTCAGTGACGGTGCAGATCTTATCGGTATCTTCTTCCTTTGTCGTAATTGGATTTTGAACTTGCGTTCCTTTCTTTTTCTGTTCGACCTTTTTGTAAAAAGAAATAACATTCGTTGGAATATTTAAAACATACAGTCATTCCGAAAGCAACTTTAGCTTCATCTGGTAATCTTGGTAAAACTTCGCTTAGCAAGGTGTAGTTTTAGCAGAGAAAATGTGATTGTGAAAATGATTGGAAAGAATTCTACACTCGTTTGCCGGGTACGCCCGGTTCCATATATTGGAGTATCTTCGCTGATGTTTAAGTGTCCTCGATACCTAGAAAAACATGGATTTCAGAACATTTATGGACATTTTCAAATGAAATAGAACATCAGTATTTGGGTCTGATACATTTTTTTGAATATGAGATTTATTTTTCTGCAAAGTGAATTGTAAATTTATATCGTCGGCTTAGAAAATAGTTCTTTGAGACAATATTGTATTGACGGCATTGTTCGGGTGCATCCCCGCGGATGAATTCCAACAAGGAAGTCATTTTCTTTGCTATACTATAGAAACACTTTAATTTGCAATATTTTGAAAGGACTAGTTTCCTTTCAGAGACAGTAACACAACTGTGCTGATATCGGAACATCTTTCGAGGGTAGTTTTTTAAAGAAACCTGCCAACTTTGTAGGAAATCCTGATGTGCAGTAGTCATACAACGCCAAATTAACCCTAATTACTTCTCTTGAAAAATCAGGTATCAGTAAAGGAGGAAATGATGGCTTTAGGGCAGAAAAGTTATCAATACTGCTTAAGGACCAACTTCCCTGAGAGTAATTTCGCCAAAAACTCTTACAATATAAATGACGAGTTTTTCCTCGACATGTCTCACTTTTCAAAGGGTGGTTCAGTTCTAAAAAAAGAAAGGGAATTTCATGCGAAAATGTTTTCATCCTTTACCGAGCACCTGTTAGAGAAAAGCCGCTGGCATGAATAGGTTTGAAGACGATGCCAAGTGCAGAGCTAAGCAGTCATACCTTTACGTTTAGAACTGCAAAGACTGACGGTCCCTAGCTATACAAACTTCCTCATTGTATTACACGAGAGACGAGAGAATAATTCTCAGTAGAATGACGGGTCATGGCAGCATATAATTTTAAGTTACAAAGAACACAGCTAAACAAGTCTATTAATGATTCACTTTAGGATGTCACACACTGTCAGGAGATGTGGAGCGTAGAGAGTTCATCAGCTCAATCTTGGCCCATAATGTAACTGATTATCATTTTAATTGCTTGTCGTCACGAATGCTTATATAATAGGTATTCATGACAATATTACCAAAAGAACTTTGGAATTTTCGATTCAAAGTTCGCACGACAAGAAATATCAAGAATTATCAATGAATGCAAAATAGTTCATCGTGCACGACACGTTTGTAGAATCTTCGTGTATTTGACACAATTGGTTTTCTGCAAGGAACATTGAAACAAACAGTTAGATTGATTAAACATTAAGGAAAACCAACGGCTGCAATAACCACTGACTTTTTCGAGATGTACGCCAATAAAAGTGCGTTAATTTTCTTTAGAGTTGCATGGAAATAAACAAAAATGATTTCTGTTAGACGATGAAAATGTTAATATTAACATGAAATGAAAGATGTTCTACGACATTGTATAACGAAGCAAACCATGATGTATTGGACAACATGAAAGGCAAGGCATGATATTTTAATTGTTGCAGTTTCCGTTGGTAAAAATGAAATCATAAAGGCAGACAATGACGTCGCTTTGCTTTGAATTCCCCAATATATGACGCTATTGTTCTGATAAAATACTAGATTAAAAATGAATTAACTTCCTCTCGAAATAGATATTGTTGCAAGGAGTTGCCAGTAATTTGGAAAAGGTATTTGCCCTTCTCCCACTTTTAACTAATTAAATCTAATTAGTTTACTTTTTCTTTTAAAGCCAAAAGGCTCTTGATTTTTCGTACTTTCTTTGTTTTACCCTAAACTGGCGATCACGAGTCGACATATTTCAACTCAACCTGAGAAAGGGGATCTTTCATGATTTAAGTTTTATTTTAAACAATTCTCAAAAACTATGCTCAAATAGTAGAAAATTTTGCAAACGCGTAAATATAGAAGCGTGTTCTGTAATGTCTTGTTAACATCTTTAAAACGATCCTTATCGAAGATGTACATGTACCACTTTAACAGTTCTTCGCCTTGCTGAAGCAACACATAATTCGTGAAAAATGCACAAATAGTTAGTTTCATGTAAGAGAGTACTAAAAAGATTTGTAAACGTTTGGCAAATTGTTAGAAAAATAATTCAAGTGCTCTTTTGATTGCACAAATATATTATATTTCGATCTAGCCTTAAGAATTCAGGGAACAATGAGTTCCTACCACAGGATCTTAATGAATTGTTGAAGGTCTTAAGATAACAAAGTTATTGTATAATCAAGTGGCACTCAGTTTTCTTTCTTGGCCAACTTCTAGGTATTCTTAGGGGAGGCAAAGAGCAAGACGGCAAAGAACAAGATGGCAAAGAACAAGATCATGGCGATCGGAAGTATTGATTTGACGTCCGTCATAATTCTGTGTCCATGCCAAATAATCCTTCGCCAGGACGACATTGAGGACTCCAATATCTTTGGCTTCATATTGTATTTCCTTGGCAGAACGTTTTTATGTTTCGCAAGCTTTTAACCGTCGTTGTGGCCGATATAGTAAATCTGTACTTGTCCTGTCAACAAACAATGCGTATTCTACTACTAGTGTCAAGGTTTTCAAGCTACTGCACCTCATACAGATAGGCCTAGTCGCAGAGTGGGGCCTGCTATGTGGCGATATTTCGGTTAATCCTGGCCCTTTCAGCCTACATTCCTCGCAATGCCAGTAAGAGATTTCTAAATCGCTTACTGGTGAAGCTCGACCTGACTATAAGCTTGACATTTTGATTCTAACGGAGTCTTTCTGTAATAGTAAATTGGCGGACTCGTACTATTATATCCCCGCTTATACGCTACACAGGAAAGAGCGACAAGGAAATCTTGGAGGTGGAATCCTCGCTTATGTTGATGAGAATCTATGTGTTCAACGCCGTTTAGATCTTGAGACAAACGACATTGAAGCCCTATGGCTTGAAGTTTACCTGCATAAGTCAAAGCGATCTTTATTGATCTCTGGGGTCTACCGTCCTCCATTGGCGAAGCGAGAATACAACATCAACTTGGGGAAAAACATCGAGAACGCCTATTTGACAAACATGGAACTGATTGGGATGGGAGACTTGAACTATGACTTTCTAGATTCAACGTGTTTCTACAAACAAGATCTGGTTAAAATCCTGAGGGATTTGAACCTAAACCAGATGGTAAACGTAGTTACCAGACCTGCTTCTAGCGCGAGCTTGGATCATATGTATGTAAGTCAACCTGAGAGAATGTATTATGTCTCTGTAATTAATGTCGGTTGGTCTGTTTTTGTATCGAGGTGTTATAATCAGGAGCAAGACCCTTGCAGAAAAAAGAAACATCTTTCGCTTAAATATAGGAACCTCAAGAAAATTGACAAAGATAATTTTATCAAAGTCTTAATTAGGCCCCGTGGGACGCACCGTGGCACGCACCAGTCATAACAAAACGAATCAAGAGAATCTTTCAGCCGAAATGGTTTACTGGCGATCTTAATGATGAGTTCAAGAAGAGAGATCGTCTCGTTAGAAAGGCTTGAAATTCGAGTAATCCAGGGTACTGGATGCTTTTTAGAGAAGCAAAAAAATAGAGTTTCCCGGCTCATAAGAAATGCAAAGAAAGCCCTTTTCAAGTCTCAGGTGGTGGAAAATCGAAATTGTCCAAACAAACTATGGTCACTGATTAGAGATCTCTCAAGGGATTCGCAAGAAAGGGATTATAATGTTCGAGAGCTTGATGAAGTAGGGGAAATTTTCACTAAAGACAATCGTATTTCCGAACTGTTTGACCCCTTATTTTTTAATCAGGCCACAAAAATGTAAGTTTTCGTCATCAACACCATACGCCTTCACTTTAACAAGAAGTGATTGATCAAGTCAAAAGCCTTACTAAAGTCTATACACACAAGGCCAGTTACATTATTACAGTCAATATCAAAGAGGATCTGATCCAAGAGTCGAATAAGGGCACTTTCAGCTGAATGACGCTTTCGGAACCCTGACTGTAGTCCATACAAAAGGTCGTTTCTAGACRGGTACACGTACAATGAATCATATATATGCCTCACGTAGATCTTGGACAAAAAGGGTAGGACTGAGATTGGACGATAGTTCTGTTTATCAGTCTTTGAACCTTGATTTTTAAAAATGGGTGTGACTTTCGTCATTTTCCACTTGGACGAAAAACTGCGAGTGGAGATGCAGAAGTTGATAAGGCTCGCAACCGAGCTGGCAATACCTGGCGCAGCGATTTTTAACAATCGAGTGCCGTGACTATCCGCTCCTGTCGCTTTGTTAAAGGGCATTTCCTGCAGCATTCTCAAAACCTTCGCAGGGGAGATAAATGGAAGTTCAATTGTATGTTTTATGTCCTTAATTTCCTTAAAAAAGGAAAACGAGATTTCAGTTGGTAAGCATGAATCAGCGAAACCCAGTAATTGTTCCGGAGCTATTTGGCTGATCGACAACAGTATGTTAACATAAATGGGTGTACGTCATTTTCACTGGGTATCACCCATGGTGTTCCACAAAGAAGTATTTTGGGCCCCCTGCTGTTCCTGACTTTCATCAATGACCTCCCCCTAGTAATCTCAAACTCTACTGTAGATGTCTATACCGATGATACTACCTTTTCCTCTAGTGCTCATTGTACTTTGGGGACGACGGAAGTTGAAACAAATCTTCAGGAGGACATTGACAGTCTTTGCGCGTTGTCTTCACAGAACCACATGGTCTTAAATGCCAGGAAAACCAAATCTTTTCTGGTAACTGGCAAGCGTCTCAAGTCACGTGTAGCAGGCTCTAGTTTGAAGTTGCAAGCAAATGGAACAGCTATTGACGCAGCCCCAAACAGTTTCTTTCGAAACTATTAGCCTTTAAATTTTAAGGAGCCTGTAGATAAACTTTGTAAGAAGCTTAGTCAAAAACTTGGTCTTCTGAAAAAGATGCGTACTTATTTACCAATTGAAGAAAGACGACGTTTTTAAAATTCCCCTTTTAAGCCGGTTATGATGTATGGTAGTTTAGTTTGGACTTATTGTTCTAATGTGGATCTCAAGAGAGTGTTTTGGTTGCAGAAACGTTCAGCGCGAGTAATATTAGGCGCAGGTATGGGATTACGAACAGTGGAAAATTTTAAAAAACAAAATTGGATCCCATTCTATGATGAAGTTAAGATAAGAAAGTGCGTACTAGTTTATAAGGCACTGCATAGGGAATCCCCTATGCATATTGAGAGTTCTTTAACTACGAATTACTCTCTACACGGTAGAGAGACCAGACATGGCCAATATAATTTTATCTGTCCTAAGTTTTCTAATATTACTGAAGCTGGAAGGTCTTTTTAAGTTAGTAGTATCAAGTTATGGAACAGTTTGCCAAATGAGTTTAAGAAAAAACGCAGCACTTCCTCTTTCAGAAATGATTTGAGAAATTATTTTATTGCTTTTTATAGAGACATTGGTTCTTTTGAGGCTATATTGTAATATATGTTTTATTCCATATATTCTATTTATATTTGTTTTAATAGTTACTTTGTTAGGCTAGTTCCAATTTTAATTCTACACTTGCATGTATTACTTACTAATCCCTAGTTTTGAGGGCCACTGGTTTGTCAGCGTAAGCTGTTATGTGTACACCCTCTTTAAATAAAGTTGACTTACCTACTTATAACCTTTCTGCCAACTCAGTAAAACTCCATACAATATTAACCGTATAATTTTGGAAAATTCTTATGCAAGGAATTTTTTTTACCTACTCCAATCAGATGTGAGTTTTTTATTCTAAACGAGCACACATTTTTAGTCTCACAAAACGTGTGCATTGCTATCACACTAGCCTAAACCAGCTTAAGTGTTTTATGTTATTTACGAGGGCTTAGCACAAATGTACATGTCTTGTAAATTTTCTTTACTAAGCTTCGATGTTCCATATGATTTACGCGGGCTTACGACAAATCTAGAAATACTTTTTTGTCAATTTGCTTCAACGAGTATTTGCGTTCTCCCATGTGCTAAGTGACAAGTGTGTGGAGAGAATTTGACTGATGGGATGAAGTGATCGATTGCTATTGATATTTCGATATAACGTGTTATTTATAAGAACCTTTGTACTGTATTTTAACCTTACTCCTTTCCCCTTCTTTTTCGATGGTTTACAAGTCCAGCTTGGAAATACAATCACAAAAATAAGAATAATAACTTTTATAGCCAAACTCTGAGGACCGGTCATTTACACAAAGTCTAACCCAAATTGTACACTGCGAGTCTCAGACTTGCAGGTTGCTTTGAGCTTCGTTGTAATCATACAGAGATGTATTTCCCGTTCAAATTTGGCTATTAAACGTAAACACTTTGTATCCTCATTTTTAGTATGTTTTCGATATGGATGGTTTTAACTAGCCAGCGCTAGCCATTATAGTTTGATCGTCGCGACGAACAGAGTACACTCCAAACCGTGGATATTCGGTGATTCCACCTCGTGCTCTTTGCGTCACACGGTTGGTCTGCATGTCCCGATATTGGTGTTTGATTGCCATGGCGTTCAGAACACGTCCTAGAGCGACTCATGAAGACTAACTAGCCATGAGCAAAGCACCTCTCCTTCTCAGTAGTTCATACAGAATTTTGACTGGCTTCATAATATTCTATTTCCTGTCGAACAAATTTTCTTCAAGTGCTAGCACACAGTGGCTCTTAGCTCATTTTTTCACCTAAACACCAATCACTTACAACCTTTCTTGGTAGGATTCCTTAGATTTAACGACTGTACGGGGAGCAGTTGTCGCCTGGAGAACACACAAAACTCCTCTACCCCTCCCCCTCCGGTAGTTGTGTAATCTCTTTATCGTTTACAGCGGGAAATTCAAACATTACTCAAGTCTTAGCTCGAGCGCCTTTGGGTGGAGCCATTAACTCGGCTTCATGGTTATCGCTCTCTTGGAAATTTTTTTTTTTCACTCATTTTTTTCTACATGCTTATTTTAACGATATTTAGAAGGGTTTTTCCGAGGTAATTTCAAAGAAAAACAACAAAATTTTAAGTATGCTATACGCTTTCTTTGAGTCCCACGAATTTAAGAGAGGCATTTATATGCCCTTGATTCAAGTATCCGGCGAAGTTCCATAGAAATTTAAAACATTTTTTAGTTCAATTTTTGTATCGTATGGTCGCACTTTGACAGCTAACCCTACAGTTACAACTCAAGAAGTCTTTGTCCTTTTTTTGATATTAACAATAATTCACTCGACTCGCTGATAAAAAAAAAAAACTAATAAGAAATCCTTTAGAATTTTTTTCTTTATCACTGGCTTTCTTTAGCATCTTGCATCGCTTTTTATACTGAAATGATTTCTGAACTATGATAAGGGTGTTCTGGAGAGACTTTCGCGAGATCAGGTGACCCATTGTCTACCCAATAGCTTCGTACAGATGTTGGGATTGTGCGGTGTTGCGGCGATTCTGTGAACTTACTGAAGTCCCCCTGATTGGCTGGTTTTGAGAGCTCATAGAGGCTCCTCGGCTTGGTACATTTCTTGCCTGATCTTGAATGATCGGCGGTAATTCAGCCTCATCCTCGTCAGCTACCGAAAAGTGAGTGACGCCATGTTTGTTGTCAAACCCATCGTCTGTGAAGTGTGCCACAACCTGAAACCCAAGAATACTTTCAAGACGTTTGATATCCAATTCTTCTGCAAAAATCAAACAGGAATTGAATTTGCCATATCAGTGCCATTAAGTGGATGGGATAGCATTTCCTTTACTTTGATCATGAAGCATACAATGATTTTCGTTTCAACAGTGATCCTATGACAGGGTATGACAGGGAGAACATGACACATGTGGAATCTGGTGACTAGTAGTCTAGACCGCAATATTATTAACCTGCGGTGTGCGTTCGGCACATGCGCAGAGACAGTTAAAAAACATGTGCTCGAGTGCATGAGAGAATCGCCATGTCGAAACTTGTACTCGCTATGTACTCGTTGTATTGTTTTACTAAGCGTGGCCGCCCCGTTTTATTCTGTCACTGTTAGAAGTTTCTGATTAAGTATTCGTTGATTAAAGTCGATCAATTCACTCTTGTGGTTTACACAACACAAGTCGAAATAGCAACGATTTCCAGTCGATGTTAGCATATCTTATTAGAATACGTATGAAAAGGTATGTAAAGCTCCGGAAAAATATAAAATGCCAGATCAGTTTTTGGTTAATGGATCTGTCTTCCCATGTCTAGCCATGTCCGGCTAGCCATGATCCGCCCAGTCATGCCTAAGTCGGCTTTGTCTTCGAGTTGCGGCGAGCGCCAGAATACCCAAGATGCATCTTGTTTTTGCGAAGGCTCTTACCTCTTGTACTTCGTCCTCTGCCTCTTCATATGCGCCATCTTCCTGTGTGTCCATGATATCTGCCATTTCAATGGTCAACGTTCCGTTTCTTTGTGACTTTGACTGTGGGGTAAATGGATTTGTGTAGAGAGATGTACTCTTTTCTGCTTTAGTTGGCCTTGGTTTAAGAGCTGGTCTGTGTTAATGAAACAAATTAAGGTAATAGAGATAGGTCAGACTTTACTACACACATGGGATACTTTGCAGGTCTATGGCTGATTTATGTATTATAAGAATTCAATATAATATCAACAGTAATATATCTAATCAAAACTAACTATGAGGGAGATTTTTTATGAAATAGTATTATAATCTAAAATTATTTGTAATTATTTGTAATTATTTGTGATTATTTGTAACTAGCCTCAATCGAAAGGGATATTTAAAAAAAAAATTAATTATTCAAGATCAGTTATTATTTCTTACTAAGGCCAACATGTAAACGGGCAAACATTCCTTCTGACAGTACAAGCATTCGTAAGCATTGATGACACTTACTGTTTCCGGATTCGACGATAGAAAAAGAAAGCCAGGAAGATAAGAAAAAATAACATAATTATTAAAACCCAGAGGAAAGGCCCTAGAAACGAAAAGAAAAAAATTAAGAAATAAATAAAACTTTAAAAATCTGAGAATTGTCATTGTTACCTCAGTGTTACAATAAAAAAAAGCAAAAAAAAAAAAAGGTACTGTACTTTCTCATGCCATAAGCAATAGAATCGTTACTTACACCACCAGTAATGTCGAATCGCAATCACATTTTTTGTAATTATGGTCTGCGCTGCAAAGGAATTAGATAGGTTATTTAAGTTATTATCATACGTAATTCTACACTGTAGTGTTGCTTTTTGTATCGCCTTATTGCTCTTCACGTTTTTCCTCATTAACTGAAATCGGCTGTAAAAGATCTTCATAGAGCTGCTCACGATAGTTAATCGGTTTACCTGGTTCATACGAAATCAAATGTAAGGCTCTTCGATCGCAATTGAATTTGCCCCTTCTTTGATTATAGCTCCAGTCAGACGACCGGTAATATTTTGGAAACATTTTGAAGAATTTCATCCAAAATAAACTTTTGAAAAATCAGATACAAAAAATTTTAAGGGAATTGCACTTATACGTTTCCACTTCCAGATAGTATTTATGTTTGCAGCTAGCATAATGTTAACAAAGTGTAGAATTCAAATTATTAAAAACTAGATCATTGGATAATGCAATTCAAGACTTTTTATTGGCTTAGCCATTATGGTTTATGAGCCAATATACCATAATCTAATATCTGTACACTGTAACATCTGGTTTCTTCTTAAAAAAAAAAAAAGCCGAGAAGATTTGTCTAATATCTTGGGGGCGTTTTTTTTAATAAAACAATTATTCCACTCGTGCTTGTTGGATATGAGATGATTATAGCCAACTCGGCGCTACGCGCCTCGTTGGCTACCTATCATCTCATATCCAACGCGTGCTCGTGGAATAATTGTTAAGTATTTACCGGTGACGTTCCCTTTGCCAAAGACTCCAACTCTCAAGCAAATCTTTTTCTCCCACGACACAGGTTTGAACCGAATATATCGAACAACTAAAGGGTACGGGAGCTCACAGCAAGATACAGACCCAGCGTCTTTGTTTCCATCAAATATCTACACCAACAAGAAAAAGAACAAGTTTTTTACGTTATCCTAATCATTTCAATATAAAATGGATTAAATCCACCATTTGGGAACCTGAAATGAAAAACGCTGACTACTATGACGGGGAATATTTTCTCAAATTATACAGTGGAGAATTTGAGTGCAAACAAGTTTGAAATGTGTGGTACGACACCCATCAAATCCTCAAATAAAGATCAACCGACAAACTGAACTCATTACTTTCTTAACACTGTATAAAATAAGAAAAATTCAAACCCCAAAGTTCCAAACGCAAAGCCTAAATTATTTTAGTTTTTAAAGATTTTACTTATGAAAAAATTTCAAAGACTTGTGAAAATATACTTCACGGCTTGTATAACGAGTGTTTCGTCCTAGCCAAAAGATTTGCCAGATACCTTTGGAATTTTCAGACAAACTCGTTCACCTCCGCGCTCCAAGTGTCGCTGTCGAATTCAAGATGTTATCAGTCTGTCCCTTATATCATAGAAAGATGATCGCTAAGCACACGTTCACCAGTTACAATTTGTGCAATGAAAAATTAATTACAACGCATTTTTTCCTTGCCTTTAACACTTTATCGAAGTAATACCCGTTGTACGTTTCACCATCAGAGCTATACTGCAGTGTGTATTCCTTAACCCAGCTGGTGATGTTGGTGCCATTTACAACCTCAGGTGGATCGTTTAATCCTTGAGTCGCAATATGAGTAACTCGTGACATTTCGGCTGAAAGAAAGGGTAACTGCCTCATGATTATGCCTTATAAATGTTAATCAGTCCATCCATCAATCATAGGATGGATCTGTTAGCTTCCTAATTAATCGAACCATCCGTTGATTAAGCAGACAACGATTGATTCATTCGTTGGTACACATAAATCCTACGGGTTTGGGAATAACACTTTAGGAAAAGGTCACTATAAAGAATTCATACCGTCGGATAACCACACTGTCCTTTTCTTACCTAATGATTCAATTAATTAGACAATAGACCCTGTAGTAATTTGGTTTTTGGTGATAGACAAGCACTCAAGAAGCAACACCGAAATTTGACTCCATGCTCGACATTTCTCTGGAAATAATAAAATCCAAGGTAGAGTTTTTTTCCTTTGAGTGATCCATTTTCTGTCCGGCTTTCTCTAGTCAGCATTTTTACAATTATGTTACCCTTAGTGAGATATTCCGTTATGTCTCCAGGGCGCTAGTACGTAAAGTATCGTTTGCGATTATATAGCTTTAATTTTTTAAGGCGATAAACCTTAAGTAAGTCTATCTGCATCACCTCTTTTCATATATCTTGGCCTTCTTCAGGAATTCCAAACAGGGATATTTTAGGGATGGAGATCATTTTTAAATAACATACTTTGGCAGTGAGCTGAGGTATGATTTTTGTCACTGATACGCAGACCTTAACCTCGCCCCTTTCCGCTTTCCTTAGATTTGTACTCACCGAGATCTATCTGTAAATACTGCTCAGTGTTTGATTCTTGAGCGCACCAGGCAGTGCCCTGGGAACCAGTTGGGCCCTGATTGAGTCTGCCTCGACCTGGTCCATGACTGGCATCAAGTGTTGACGATGCTGTCATGGCCTGATCCGGGATATGACCATCTTCTATTCCCAGCTCCTTTAGCTTGGCTGCAGAGAAATAATTATTGTATAGGTAACTTTTTCTCTCTCTCTCTCTTGTGAAATTTCTAGAAGTTCATACTGCATTTATGTCACTTTGGTTTTGTTTTGTGTTCTTTGTTTATTTCGGCGTTTGTTTGTTATTTGGTCTCAAAATTATCTTAGCTTATTATTCGCCTGGGTCGCAGAAACCAAAGAAAGGTGGTGTTCCATTTGTTAGTTGGTTTTGTTTGATTATTTTAGTTAATACATTAAGACAACTTTCGACGTATTCATAGAGACTTCAACTTCCGGGAAACATATTTGCGTCACCATTCTGATTTCATTCCGTAGGCGACAAAGCAAAGCCAGGTAGAGAGGTATTTGAAACAGCAAAAAAGCAATTTGAAATGCCCTGGTTCGTGATCAGTGGACTATAAACATAACATGTCGACTTAGTGCAACATTGCTGTAACTCTCTGTGAAAAACTATTCATGCATGCTTCTGTAGTTAGTTTTAACAAATGCATGACTGCGCGAAATGCCATTTACATGATATCATTTTCGATGAATTCATCGGCGGATTAATGTCAGAGTAGCTAAGAAAACCAAGCTTAGACCGCCAAATATGTTTAATGTTTATCAGAAAAAACAGTGGATCGTGAATATATTTAGAGATTATCCTTTTAACAAGTACTTGAGAATTCATGTGTCCTCACGAGCGTTACTTAAGCGTTTAAATGCGTAAATTTCAACCTATGCCAGTTAAAAACTGGAGTTAAACACAGTAATTCATTGGCTAAAATGAGTTAAACTGACTACATAACTACCAGCACAGTCGTAATAAAACATGAATCCCAAAAGACAAGAAATACGATATGGTTAAATAACGAACGGGAGTGAACTTACCTATATCACAACTACAGGAGTGAACAACATCAGTACACAAACCGAAGGCGATGATGTAAATCAGAAATATCGCTTGTGGATATCTAACCAGACTCTTCATCGGAAAATCGTATTGTGGTGAGCTTAAAACTCTGCGTAAATATTAAAACACTCGAAAGAAGTAGCGAAAGCTTTAAAGAATGCCTGATATTATAAGAATGGTCATAACTTTGTTGCGTGTTGATCAATCTAGAAAAAAAAATGTTGCATAATGAATTACGTGTTTTCCTGTGCTCATTTCATAGTCCACTTCACTTACAAGCCCATTCCTTAACGTAAAACCTTAGCCAGAAACGTCGACAAAAATCTTTAATTATTTGGAAATTTAACTTTCCAATGAGTATTTGTTTTATTTGAAAAAACGACTGTCGTAGACCGTCTAGTGTCAGTTGAAATCTTTCGGCAGTTCTTTTTTCCCTTTTTTTTCTTTTTGTATCGACACTCAGTATTAGTGAACTCCTGAACAAAAGAACAAAAGAAGAACTATTCAAAAGATAGTTATACAGCAGATATATTTGTTATGAGCTCGGATCATATCTCACGCGATAATTTGATGGACCATTATCTAAGGGTCCACGTGGTTAATCATTAGCCGTAAAAAGGCAAAAACAGTTGGTCATTAGGCAAAAAAGATTGACCGATTTTAACGGTTGGTACTCAAAAAAGGTAACCGTAAAAAATTTCCTCATCTACAATATGTAATTTGAAAGTTTCAAAATCCCAAAACTTTTGTGTGTCTTTTATTGTAGCCGATGCTGCCGGAAAACAGAAAAGAAAATTACTCCATCAACCCCAACAGTAACTCGATCTGAAATTACCCTTCAGATTGTTGCTTGACTCCAATGTTGAAAGCGAGCGATTAAATGCGTTTTAGAACGATGAAAATTAATCAATAATTTTGGAAATGGCTGAAATAATTTTTTAACATTTCTAATAGTGACAGAAAGAAATATTTAGTCATAAGTTGTAAAATGACCAAAATTTTAACCGTTTAGCCTTCAAGGCCATCGTCCCATCTAGACACTCTCATCCAAAATATCGAGATAAAAGGAAGCATTAAATATTTTACGCAGGAAAGTGTTTATCAGTACTATCAAAATTTTATGCACCTGCGTGTCTTAAATCGAAATTAAAAGTACTTTGAAGTAGTTGGCGAATTTATGTTGAAATTCTTGGTTATGCAAACCTTTGTACATGGGGACAATTTCAGACCAATATTTAGCTCCGATATTTGCTATCTATTGATTTCATGACCTGTTGTTTGCAAAATTTTCTTACTATTGAATCTTTTTTAAAAAGATGAAGTTTCAATTTCTGTCGCCATTGGATACAGTTTCTCTTTCATGTAAGCAATTATTGTCTCTTTCACCAGAGAAACCTTCAAAAGCTGTTACTTCTACTCTAGCGAGACAACTTTTGACATGTTCAATGCGCAAAGATCTGGATCCATCAGAAAAGGAGTTGAGAAAAAAGGAAAGAAAGAATAGAAAAAAAACAAAGGCATTCAGGAATCCAAGAGTCCAAAATGCTGTATGAAAAGTGAGACTCAAAGCCCTCTGAAAGTTTATTAAAAATCGCAAACGTATCGTATTTTTCGGTGCCACCTTACAAATATCAAATGAGCTTCTAAATATTCTCAGGGTAGTTTACACCATACACTCTCTGTCATGAACTTTCTAATGTGTAATAATAAACAGCAAATCTACATATTGCTAGAACCAAATAAAAACTTTTTTCAAGAGTGAAATACAGTGGAACCCCGCTAACTCGAACTCGGTTAAACCACTTCGCTACTGAACCTGAACAAGATCCTTGACCCCATTTTTTAGTCATTTACTATCAGCTATTTGGAACCCCTCTAATTTGGTTTCCCTTGGGAGTTAGCGGGGTTCTACTGTTTTTCCAAAATTTCCGAGATTGGGTTTGTGTGGAGATAAGGATGGTCTCCACTCTCCCACCCCTTCCTTGTAAGAAATGTCCCCCCCCCCCAAATAAAAAATAAGCATTATTGTGCGATGATTCATTGAATCTCTTACAACTTGATTATAAGCTGTAGTTATGTTGCTTTTCTGTTGCTGTATTTCTGTTGCTTCACGTTTTCTAATTGATTATGGTATTAGTGTAAAAGCCGATTAAATATCCCTTCCTTTAACATTTAAGAAAACTAGCTGTATCTCTGTTGCTTCACGTTTTCTAAGCGATTATAGTATTAATATAAAAACTCAGTTAAATATCATTCCCTTTAACATTTGATTAAACGAGCTTTATAGTAAATTAAGAGAGTCTCTTAAAGTTTTCACTGTTTTCGTTAGGTGACAATATTTCCTCTACAACAATTTTGACACCATTTGTCACGTCTGGGGGAAGGGTAACAAACATCTTACGTGTAAAACGGACGTGAACAACCACGACGTGGATAGTTATTTCCAACGCGGGGCGATCAAGTTAAACTCGTTCAATTCAAGTGTTTTAACGCCTACCAATAGCAAAACCACAGCGAATTTTCATCTATAATTTTGCCCAGCGTAGCCTCTGCTAATTAATACGTTTTTCTGGTCTGGATTGTCTTTAACGAAATCTTTAAAATCCTAACGTAATTGTTTACTTAAACCTTCCTTTTCCTGTAAAATTTCTTGTTTAGTTGTTTTTATTTTGTTGCTGTTTTGTTTTTGTCGTCGTTGTTGTTGTTGTTGTCGCTGTTAACGCAGTTAAGTCGTGATTGTGCTCTCGAGACGGACAATCAACTCGTCAAAAGTTGGTCTCATGTTAGGGTTTGCATTCCAACAATCTCTCATGACTTGGTACCTAAAAGGAAAAAAAAGTTTATATCAAGCTGTGTTTAATTGAGAACCCACTTCAGAGGTCAATTTCTAATTTCGTTGTTTTTGTTTCTTCAGGCACAGGATTGCGTTCCCTAACTTAGAAACAGACGTAGACGATAAAAATAAAGGAATGACGATAAAAATCGACAGGGGTTTATCGTGGACTGTACCCTTATCAAAACGATATTCGTCATGACATTGGTCAAAATTTGTTGCGGACCCAGTCGGCGCACAACACTGAAAGATCATTGTTTTTTTTTGTTGCTGTTGTTTTTTGTTTGTTTTGTTTTTTTTAGTACTTGGTGTTGTCTACGTTTAAATCGTCAACCAGAGGTGAAAATCATGCCAGCCTTTCAAAATAAACTAAGTGGAATGTCTCACATTTTGTCCGAGCATCCGTTAGGTTTCTCCATTCTGTACCCCTTCTTTAGTTGTTCTATCAGATCCACGGCGCTAAGCCCAGCATAAGGTTTCAACCCTAAAAGAAGGGAATTTATTTTGGTTACATTAGCCGTCCTAAGTATCTGCATAGACTTTACGCTTTTAACACATGTAACACCAAGTTTTTCCCTCAGACGATTAAAGGAACCTTAACATCTAATGCTCGAAGCTTCAACCTTTTAAAACTGACGGCGATCGTTGATCTAACCGTCATCAACCTAGGTTCATACACAAAAAAGTGTCTCGCAGCAAAGTATTTCTTTCTTTGCAAGACAGAAATGCATATAACGTGAACTACTAAAACTATTTTTGAAAATGTTATTGAACGTTCTTTACTCTTTTTTAAAAAAAATGCAGTTAAGTATCTGACTCCGTCGCAAATGAAACTGCAACTGGCTCGTTTAGGCTCAGTTTAAATTCAACAGCATGTAGTACCAGATGAAAACAAATCTTACCTCCTGATTCGATTTCCCAGAGCAGTACTCCATATGCCCATCTGAGTTTAAACGAAAAAAAAAAAAAAACAAGAAGAAAGTCCATAAAATAAGAATAAATCTTTTGCACATTTTAATAGATACAAGAAAAAATAGTTCTTAGAACGAGCGAGATATTTCGAACTGTTTTAAATATCTTAGAGTTCGTAATAAATTCAAGGCGTCCCTCTCTCTGCCGAAAATTATAAATCAGTGCCGGTAAAGTGTCAAGGAAATTTACGAAATTCTAGGGGTTCATTGTGGTAGACGATAATATTGCATTCAGGATTTAGCCACAGGTATCCCATCCTAATAGCTCTATGATTCAGGATTTAGCCACAGGTATCCCATCCTAATAGCTCTATGATTCAGGATTTAGCCACAGGTATCCCATCCTAATAGCTCTATGATTCAAAAACGGGCAAAAACGTGCCGTGAGTCGGCTCCGTAGCCAGGCTAGTTTAATTAACTTACACGTCAGATTCCATCGTGAAAGTATATGTTTCCAAAGACTCGATAGCCATCCATTTTAAGGGAAGTTTACCCTGAAAGAATCAAACAAAAGAATCATGTGTTGCATGAGTTTGACATTGTCCAAAAGAATAACTGCATTCAGGTTGGCCATGGGTTGTCAGATGATTTCATCCAATTGTACGTTATAAGAAATATTTTAGGAAAAAAAGATAGCGCAGTGGTGAGAGGCTCTTACACCTGGCGATATAAAAGGGTTGAGTTTGCTGTTAATTCTCGTCCTCTCTCCGAGGGTTTTCAGGTTCTCCGGGTCCCC